TGTATAGGTTTGTAGAACTTCTTCTAACTTTCGGTCATTTATATACCTGAAAACTTTTTCATTTGCCCTATGTATATAGCACACAATCGATTTTCATAAAAATTTTTCCCAATTCGGTTTCTATATACCAACCAACTTCGCCAATATGTCCACTGTTCCTGCAACAACCAATTCGAAACTTAACGAAGAAAAAAGTTAGTATACACGACTGCACTAGTTCTATACCGTTTTTTCACAGTTATTGACTTTTGTCTATAGGAAAGGAGATATTTAAAATACCCAAATTTTTGAAGTACATAAGAAAGAGAAGTTCGGGTTTTGTCAAACATTCCAGAGTCATTAATTGAACGATTTTTTTATTCTCAATAAACACAACTACACAGCTTCCAACACGCCCGAGGCACTAAATCCTATTACAACTGAAATTTCTAATCCACCTGAGGCGGTTGAGTCCCTTCGCAAGTATGAAACAGAACAAGAACAAGCACAGAAATTTCTAGGTAAGGCTGAAATTTTCTCAGAATAACGTACAAACAATACATATGGTATGTTTTGATATTGTTTCTAATTAATGCCTTTGTAGATCGTGTGGGCCAGAACTTCAGGTGGCCTGCATCGATGGAAGATTGCGTCAGAGCCACGGTTTTCTTTTACTTGGCTGACGAATCTGCCTTGAAATTTGACGATGAAACAGCTTTCAATCTTATCTTCTTCTTTGACAATCTCGATAAAGGAACATTTGATGAATATAAGGATAGCTGGGTGTTGGTGTATAAATAAGAAGTGAAGAAATACGGGACGTCAGAATATACGAGCAAAGAACTAGAGGACCTCGAACAAGAAATGCCCGGTGCAGTATATTTGCCAGTTGATAAATCGCATCTTGATAATCTTATGAAATCTCAGCCAGCGAAGACAGTATCTGTTCAACGTGTTAACCGAGAACACATGGTCTGAAATATTGTTTATTGTTGCGATATATAAATGTCAATATCGGTATCAATACTAACAGTCACAGAACATATCCTAATAGTTGCTGTTACTTATGAGTCAAATGAAGTGACATACCAAATTTTATATGTAAATTTTTACAAAAACTCATTAAAATTTAATTTATTTAAAAAAATACATACGTATAAAACTTTCTTGAAATTTTAAATATATATACTTTAGCATTTTGTAATCTTTTGTTAAAAGTTTTGTTTCTTAACTACTAGTAGTTTAAAGAAAATCTTCCACTAAAGTTGAACAATTCTTTACTATATTCTTTAAGTCAAATGTCTGACTCACCTAAAGCAATTATATGATTGGCTAAAATAACTTATAAAAATTAAAGAAAATTTTACTAAGCAAAGGTTTCTTCTGCTTCTAAGTAAAGTTGTAAAAAAGGTCTTTCTGGTTCTAATGCTAGTTAGATTATTAAAATTAGCTTAGTAAATTTCAAGATACTTGGGATTAAAGGTGTAAATATAGAGATTTGTAAATTAGTGATTACACAAAGTATTATTACAATAATATTTTGTATAACTATCAATTTGCAAATCTCTCAATTTTCACACAATTCTTTTCGTTAATCATCAATCCAAAAAAATCGATAAAGCAAAAACAAAGGATATCTCAACAAACAATATAGAAAACAGTCCTTTCAATATTAAAGAAAAAGATTTAGCGCAGGAAAATACTTAAAGTTTCTTAATACAAGAACTCAAAGAGAATTAAACTCAAAGAAACATATTACTTTTGGAAAATTTTTACAAAAATTCAGGGCTTTTGGATTTTTGTTCTAGACTCTGTAAATTCAACAACATAAATGCGTAACAGGAGATTACCACAACAAACAAACAAATAAAACAAACATATTCTATATTAGAAAATACCAACAGTAAACAAACAAGTAACTTTTTTCTATTCTGAAAAATATTGTTACTCAGCAACAACAAACAGCAACTCTAACATGTAGATTTACAGAAAACAACAAAAAAACTTAGAAAGTTCTAGCAAAAATGGAGATTGAATAAACAAAACCAGTTTGGACAGGTTTAATGGTGCATATACATAGGGCAAATGAAAAAGTTTTCAGGTATATAAATGACCGAAAGTTAGAAGAAGTTCTACAAACCTATACA